GGGCTGGGCTGGGCGTGGGGGTGGGAGGGGAGGCTCTTTGGGCACCCCCCAGGGTGGGAGTGATGGGAGAAAGGGAATTGATTCCCGTGGGAGGGACTGTCAGCCGGGCAGCAGCAGAAAAAGGCCCCTCTGACCACATCTGGCCCAGGGACCGTGACCTCCCAGGGGAGGGTTCCTGCAGGTGTGTGACAAACATCCAACGATCCAAGGGCTTGGGAGCAGAGCTGTTGTGTCCTAGAGGAGCTGCTGTGTAAAACGAGCCCTCTCACCCCCTGAAGTTAACTCTTCCCAGCCCTGGCTGTGGGGGTGCAGCAGCAGCAGCACTGCTGTGCAGGGAGGGGTTAATCCTGCCTCTCCCTCCCCGGAGGGCTCTGCAGGAGCCTGGGTCCTGGCCAGGCTGCCTGGTGCCATATGGAATCCTCCACCTGTCTGGGGCTTTCTCCTCCCCAGCCCTGGTGTTTTGCCCAGACCTGGCTGCCTTTCCTCGCCTCTTGAGCACAGGTTTGGCAGCACCAGCCCCGGGCTGGCACTGCCCCAGGGCCCAGGAGGAAGGTGGTCCTGTGCAGAGCATCTCCTGCCAATGTGGCCTCAGCCCAAAGTCGTGGGGCTGGAGCAAAAGCTCAGCCTGTGGAGGTTCAGCAGTCTGGCTGCCTCACCAGCCCTGGCAGCACCAACTTCTTCCCAGCAGTTTTCCTTCTTGGAAGAGCTGCAGGGGATGCTCGGCCTCACGCTGGGAAGCAGTGGGGGGCTGACCTGACATGGGGAGGGTGAGAACTGGCTGCTTTGGGCCAGTATTTCTACAAAAGGGACCGAGTGAGAGGTCCCCAATTAGAACACCACAGAATCCCAGGATCACTGAGGTTGGAAGAGCCCTCCTAGACCATCAAGCCCACCCTGTGCCCCATCCCCACCTCGTCCCCCAGCCCAGAGCACTGAGTGCCACGGCCAGGCCTTCCCTGGGCACCTCCAGGGCTGGGCACTCCAAACCTCCCTGGGCAGTTCCAATGTTTAACCAACCCTTTCCAGGGAGAAATTCCTCCTGATGTCCAACCTGAGCCTCCCCTGGCACAGCTGGAGGCCGTTCCCTCTCCTCCTGTCCCTTGTTCCCTGGCAGCTCCCCCCTCCTGTCAGGGGGTTGCAGAGCCAGAAGGTCCCCCCTGAGCCTCCTTTTCTCCAGGCTGAGCCCCCCCAGCTCCCTCAGCTGCTCCTGCTGCTCCAGCCCCTTCCCCAGCTCCGTTCCCTCCCCTGGACACGCTCCAGCCCCTCAGTGTCTCCCTGGCACCGAGGGGCCACTTCTCCTCACAGCATCTCCCCTGCTTCCCTGGCAGGACCGTGGGTGGCAGCGGCAGCAGAAGTGACCTCCGGGCCCCCGCGCGGCCTCCTCGCCCCCACAGGTATGCCGGGTGGGTCTCGGCAGCTCCCATGGCCTTCCTGTCCAGGTTCTACAGGGCCAGCAGCAGGTCCCCGAGCCGGGCCCCGCGGGAGGAGCGCGGGGGACACCCCATCCTCAGCGTCTTCGAGCTGGAGAGGCTCCTGTACACGGGCAAGACGGCCTGTAACCACGCTGATGAGGTGTGGCCAGGACTCTACCTGGGAGACCAGTATGTAATGGGAACGGGATGGGGACCGGGGGGGGGTCAGGGCTGCCTTGGGGAAATCTTGGGAGGGGGAAAGTTGGGAAAAGGAGGGAGAGGAGGATGCGGTGGGTGTGGAACACCGGGAGAAAGGAAGGAGGACTTGGAAGTCCTTCCCAGCGGGGCTGTGAAGAGTTCACAGGATCACAGAATAGGCTGAGCTGGGAGGGACCCCCAAGGACCATCCAGTCCAACTCCTCACCCTGCACAGGCCCAGCCCCAAGGGTCACCCCCTGTGCCCCAGAGGATCAGCCAAACCCTCCTGGAGCTCTGGCAGCCCTGGGGCTGTGCCCACTGCCCTGGGAAGCCTGGGCAGTGCCCAACCAGCCTCTGGGGGAAGAACCTTTTCCTGAGATCCAACCTGACCTGCCCTGGCACAGCTCCAGCCATTCCCTGGGGTCCTGTCCCAGGAGCTCAGGGCCCTCCCCAGGAAGCTGTATCCTGCTGCTGTGGTGGGGTGTGTGTGGGGTCAGGGACTTAAAACTCGAGAATCTTCAGGACCTGGTGGTTCTCCTCCGTGCCCACCTCGCTCGGGCGGGAATGCTGGCACGGGACAGCCTTTGGGAACTGGTGAGGGGTCTGAGCCGTGCCCTGTCCCCTGCCCCGTGCAGGGATATAGCCTCCAACCGGCGGGAGCTGGCCCAGCTGCGCATCACCCACGTGCTCAACGCCTCCCACAGCAAGTGGAGGGGGGGGGCCGAGTACTACGAGGGCACCGGGATCCGCTACCTGGGCATCGAGGCCCACGACTCGCCCTCCTTCGACATGAGCCCCTACTTCTACCCTGCCGCCGACTTCATCCACCAGGCCCTGAATGAAGGTCCGTGGGCAGGGGTTCTGTGGGGCAGTGGGGAGCAGCAGTGGGAAGGGAGGCTGGGTTGACACCCCGTTGGCTCAGCATCCTGGGAAACAGTGGGGTTTGTGGGGTGGTGCCTCCTGCACGGAGGGAACAGGGCGGGTGGGTGACCCTGGGGTCAGCTCGTGGTGCTGGTGACACCAGGGCGGTGGGTTTGACCCCTGTGTGGGCCACTGACTGAAGAGCTGGGCTCAATGATCCCTGGGGCTCCCTCCCAGCTCAGAACATCGTGGGGCTCTAAGAGCACTGCCCCGCCGGGTCACAGCCCCAGCCCGTGTCCCGAGCCATGGCTGAGCCTGTTCAGCCTGGTTTGGTTCAGCCTGGTTTGGTTCAGTCTGGTTTGGTTCAGTCTGGTTTGGGACATCACAACAGGCTGATGCCCTTTGCCACCCCACAGCTGGGGCCCTACACCCGGGTGCTGCTCACCTGAGCCCCCCCAGCTCCGGGTGCTCCGTGGGCCCCCGGGCAGGTTCTCGGTTGGGATCCGTGTCGTGCCGTGACCCAGCCCCCGTGTTTGCCCCCCAGGGAGGATCCTCGTGCACTGTGCTGTCGGGGTGAGCAGGTCGGCCACCTTGGTCCTCGCCTACCTCATGATCCGCCACCACATGCCCCTCGTAGAAGCCATAAAGACAGTCAAGGACCACCGTGGCATCATCCCCAACCGCGGCTTCCTGCGCCAGCTGGTGGCCCTGGACAATGCCCTGAGGCTGAAGAGGAGCTCCTGAAGGAGGAGGAGGAGGAGGAGGGGGGTGTGTGTGCTGTGGTGGGAGCAGTGCCCACCTCGTGCCCAGACCAGGCTCTCTCTCCCCACGGCGCAGTCGCTCGGCAGCTCGTGGGTCACCCAGGGGGTGCCCAGCCCTGCCAGCCATTCCCAGTGGTCCGGCACAGACCCTCCACCTGCAATCCTGCCAGCAGACAGGCCTGACCAGAGCCTCCCTCCCAGCCTGCTCGCTCCAAGATGCCTCTGGAGGGACTCGGCCCCACCTCACAGGTCACTCCATCCCCGTGGGCTCCAGGAGGCCTCCGAGGCCTCGTTCTCCCTCCTGGCATCGAAGCTCTGTGTGTCCCCTGTCGTGTCCCCCCGTGTGCTCTCGGTGTGTGTAGCCTCGTGAACCAGGCCTGGTGTGTGGGCTCAGCCTCCCGTCCCAGTGTTTGGGTGTTCTCCATGCCTCGTGTCAACCCGTGAAAATAAAGCCAGTGCTAAGGAAAAATCCGGCCCCCCCTTTGCTTTGGGACAGCTCCAGCTGTGGGTGGCAGAGCATCACCCCGAGCACTCGGGGCTGGGCTGGATCTGATTTCCCCCAGATCCTCAGTGCAGGGGTCAAACCTGAGCCCCCACAGTGCTGGGCATCCCCATTCCTTCCTCTGCAGCAGCGGGGACAGAGGGGGGCTCCTGGTGGGGAGCAGAGCTGGGCTGGCACTCACAGGGGCTCCATCCAGCACCCAGCTCCAGCCAGGCCTGCAACAAACCCCTTCCCCCAGTGCTGGGCCGAGCCCAGGAGGGTGACCAAGGCCAGGGGCGGGTGTCTGTGTGGCAGGGGCGGCCCCAGGGTGCCCCACACGCTCCCAGCACTCATTGTCCTCCCGCTCTTATTATAGCTCCATTCTTCCCGCGCTTCCGGAGGGCGCCCGGAGCAGCGCCGGCTGTGCTGGGATCCTGTAAACACGGAGGGAGAGGAGCCCCGTGGTCACCAGCCACCTGCAGGGGCCACAGCTCGGAGGGAGATGCCGATCATAAAGTCCTTTAGGTTGGAAAAGACCTCTGAGATCAAGTCCAGGCACTGCCAAGGCCACCACTAAACCCACGTCCCCACATGCCACATCTCTCTGTTAAATCCCTCCAGGGATGGGCATCCACCACTGCCCTGGGCAGCTGTGCCAGGGCTGGACAACCTTTTCCATGGATATCCAGCCTATCCCATCCCAAACCTGAGACTGAGAGCCTCCAGGAGCCCGGTGCCCTGTGGGGGGGGTCCCCCAAAGGGCTGGTCCGTGCCCGAGGACGGGCTGGGCACCAGCCAGGTGGCATTTGAGGCAGGTAATCCCCACCTGGATCACGTGTGGGAGCGCTGCTGCTGCCGGAGGATGGGGCGGGATTTGTTTCCTGGGACACTCGCCATGGGATGCGCAGGGCAGGGACGTCTCAGGATGTGCAGGGACACCCCAGGATGCTCAGGGACACCCGTGGGATGTGCAGGGACCCGTGGGATGTGCAGGGACCCGTGGGATGGGCTGATGGGCTGGGACACCCGTGGGATGTGCAGGGACACCCATGGGATGCTCAGGGCTGGGACACCCCGGGATGCTCAGGGTCACCCGTGGGATGCTCAGGGCTGGGATCCTCGTGGGATGCACAAGGCAGGGACCCCCGTGTGTGTGTCCGGTGCCCCGGGGACACCCCGCCCGTGCCATCCCCGTGTCCCGGCGCTGCCGGGGCGGCGGGGGCGGTCCGGGGGCGGCTCCGGGGGGGCTGCCGGGGCCGGGGCGGGGTTTTGCGGGCACGGCCGCTCCCGGCCATGGCCCGGCCGAGCCTCCCCGGCCCCGCGGAGCGGCTGCCGGATGCCTCCGTTCCAGTGGTGCCACGGTGAGAGCGGGGGCGATGGGGATGGTCGGGGATGGGGGCGATGGGGAGGGGGAGCCTCTCCCCTCCGCCCTGCCCGGGAAGGGAGGGATGCGGGCTGTGGGTCGGGGGCAGCGGGGCATCCCCGGCGGGGATGGGCGCACGGACCCCGCTCCGAGGGCTCTCGGGGTCCCGGTGCCACCGTCCTGCTCCCGGAGCGGCGAGTCCTGCTCCGTTCACAGGGATAAAGCCGGCGGCGAAATGGATTTGCCACTTTTTCGCTGGTTGCACCGACGAAAAAAAAAAAAAAAAAAAAGCCCCAACCAAAAAACTCCCCAACCCCCTTTTTCGTGTGTCCGCAAAAGTGGAATAAACTTATTTTTAGCCCTCCCTCCCCATCCCCCCGGCTCCTCACGCTCCGTGTCGGCCGTAAGAAGTTCTCAGGAACGCGGAGCTGAGTCTGCACATGTGAGGGAGGGTTTTGGTTTGAACGAGAAGTGGTTTGTTTTTTACGGCTGAAGTAGCTGAGAAGCCGCGCCGGGAATTCCACCATCAAAGCCCTGCCCGAGCAACAAAAGGACCGGGCTGTTTTAATTGACGAAAAGGGTTACAGCCTTTGAAGCTTAAAAATAGGATGCAGCCGGTGGCTTCCTGCCCTGTAACACATCCCTGGTGGGCTCGTGGGGGACGAGGGGTCCCACGGGGAGTTCCCCGGCACATGTGGGAGTGTGTGGGTGCCAGGAAATGCTCCCAGCGCGGCTCTGTGTCGAAAGGAACACCTTGAATAAGAGGGGCTTTGCTTTCAGAGCCTCTGGGGAGCACCAGGGACAGAGCCCACCCTTGTTCAGGGGCTGGGGCGTGGGTTGAGGGCACCCAGCTCGGGCACTTTGGCAGATATTCAGTAAATCAGCAGGGCCCAGTGCTGTCCAGGACCTTTACAGAGCTGGGGCTGTCGGTGGGAAGAAGAAGTCTGAGATCCACTAAGAAATCACATTTTCAGCCTAAATAGGTTTATTGAAATCATCCCCACGGCCTGAGGGCCGAACTGCTGCCTCTGCACCTCAGCTCCTCCTTTGCACCACAGCTTCTCCTCCTGTTGCTCACCTGTGGTTCAGGACTGCACAGTCCAGGGGCCATCGTTTGGGGGGGAGCTGGTGTCCCCCCCGGAGAACTGCTTGGCTTAGGGGCAGCTTTTGCAGGAAACCCCATCCAGCAAAAATTATATGGAAGCTGCATTCAATTTTCTGATGCAAAGCCCCACAGCCTTTGTGTGGGAGGAGAAAGAATGGTTTTATTTAATGACCTGCTGAGTTTTCCATTTGTTTTATTGAACAAGAATTGGGGTGAGGGAGAAGCCCCTGCTCAGCAAAAACCCTGAGCCTGCGCAGCCCGGGTGGAAACTTGTGTCTGTCCTGACTTGAAATGCTCCAAAATGTGGCGTCTGAGGGGCCAAAGCTTTGGCAGTTTGGGTGAGAAATACTTTGCTGGCAGAACAAAGCACCTTCCTGAGCATCCTTTGTGCGGGAGGAGAGTCCAGAAAGTCCCCAGGTGTCTGTGGGGACATGTCAGCTGATCCCTCTTTTCTCATTTTTTTTTTTTTCCAACTAAATAACTGCTCCAGCCTTTGGGGGTTCTGGTTCTGGGAGATTTGAGCTGGTGACATGGGTTTGGTGCTCATCAGCTCTTAATTTCACGTCATCTGAGCCCGGATTTGATCCATTTCTGTTGAGCTAAAAACACGGGTACCTTTGTCGGGTGAGGGGGTTTGTGATAATCAAAACCACCCAGGCACCCCCCAGGCTCTGCTGGAGGGGAGGGGAGGGATGGGGGGGAAAGGATGGGAGGGCCTTGCTTTTTGGGGATGCTGAGCTCAGCAGCTCCAGGGCTCGTCCTGGCAGGACCATCCCATGAAGGCACTTCCCTGGGGCCACTTTTTGGCCTCACAGCCCGGAGCTCATGAATTCCTGGATGCCCCGTTGAACGGGAATGACCCTGCTGAGCTGGTGAGTCCACAATTAGCTGTGTTGTGGCTGGCAGGGACTTGTCAGCTCCTCTCTGCTTCCCTCGCCCCGGGGCTGCTCCAGCAGCTCGTGTTCCACCTCAGGCTTCCCCTGCTGACTGTTTGGCTGCCCCTCTCCCAGCACCCAGGGGGCTTTTCCCTGTGGATGTGTCCCCCTGTGGGGATTTCGGGTGTCTTCACGTGGAGCAGAGCTCAGGGAGCAGCTCTGGGGTCAGGGAATAGGATTTCTGCCCCATGGGGTGGGAGGGAGGGACGGCCCCGTGCAGAGCAGGGGGGCTGAGTGGGCTGGTTGGGGTCATCCGCTGGGTTTGGAGCCCCTCAGACGAGCACAGAGGGGTGTGCTGGGGAGGGTTTGTGTCTCTTGGGGTTCTCCTTCCCATCCCACCTGATACTTCTCCTGGAAAACCTGCAGGATGCACATCCCAGCTTTCCCCACTCTCTGGGGAGCTGATTCTCCTCCCGCTATCCCTGACAGGAGCTTTCCCATCCCAATTCTCCTCCTGCTCTCCCAGATGAGGTCTTTCCCATCCCAATTCTCCTCCTGCCATCCCAGACAAGGTCTTTCCCATCCCAGTTCTCCTCCTGCTCTCCCAAACAAGGGCTTTTCCAGCTCATCACAGGTGGCCACCAGCAGGTCCAGGCCATGCCCTGCTGGTTGTCAGCCCCTCTCCCCTCTCCAGGCTCTTCTTTTGGGACCCTTTCTGTCCCCACTCCTGTGGCACAGAGGCTGGTGCTCCTCAGCAGCTCCTGGGAATGGCCTGGAAGGCCCATGGGAAGGGTTATTGTTTCACTGTGGCCCGTTATTGTTACCACGACCCACCTCCCTCTGCCCAGCCTGGCTTCCTCCATCCCCCCCGTCCCTCCTCCAGGTGCACCAGCATTACCTCATGTCCTTGCTCAGTGGGTTTGGTTTTTTCCCAGAGCTGTATATGCTTTGGTTTGGTTTGGGGGGGATTTTTATTTTTTTTTTGGGAGCATTTCTCAAATCATTTCCAGCAAGGAAACGGCAAAAAATAATGAAACCTTTCCTATTGTCTTTTCCTGCACCTGGTGGTCTCGGGAGCAGGAGGCCAGGAGAGAGGGGGACCCAGCAAGCAAATCCTCCCTTTCCAGCCCTGGGCATGAGGTGGATGATGGATTGTTTGTGGTGATTACAAGTGGCTCTGCCCTCTGGGGCAGGAAAACCCCCTTTCCTACAGTGCAGGCTCTCCTCTGGTGCTGCTCCAGTGGCATGGTGGAGGAGGTTTTTGAGGAGGAGGAGGGTGCTGAGAGGGAGGAAGGGGCTGGGGGAGCTGCTCTGTGGGGCACAGAGGGGGCTCCTCTCTTTCTAAAGTCCTGTCTGGGTGAGAGCTGAGGAGAAATCAGAGCTCCAGCTCTTGGGAGAGCACAGTCTGAGACGTATTCAGGGCTTGGGGCCTCTGTGCCTGTTCCCCTTGGTTCAGCGGGACTGTCCCACTGTCACCAGCCCTGTGTGACACCCACATGTCCCCCGTGGTGTCCTGGGCATCAGGGTGGGACTGGCACCCGTGGTTTTGCTGGGAAAGGGGGTTGGATCAGCGTCCCCAGCACCGAGGACAAACCAGCTCTTGCTTCTGCTGCTCCCACAGCGCAGTGACAGACACCAACTGTTCTTGTTTTTCAAGCTGGGGTGTTTTTTTTCGCTCTGTCCTTCCCTAAATCCCTTTCCAGCCTCCATGTGTTCCTCTGGAGATGAAAGCACGGGGCCTCCTGGTCTCCCAGCCGCCTGCGTTGTGCCTGGGGTACATTTGTGCTGCTGGAGGAGGGTTTGGTGGCTGTGGAAATGCAGCTGCTGGTGCCTCACTGAGCTGCTCTGAGGGGCTGCCGCTCTTCCAGGGGAGATCTCACAGATTTCACAGGATCACAGCTCGCGGGACGATGTCCTGGCGTTGGTTTCTGCCCACTTTGCAAACTCCAGAGGGGACAGAGCCAGCCCAGGCTCTCCCTGCTCTCACAGCACATCATCTTCACCTCCTTTCCCCCTTTTTCCACCCTCAACACTGACTTTTCTGCTCTCCCCCAAGGGTGCTCCTGCAGCCTGGGGCTGGTTTACCCCAGTAAACCCTGCACGATGCCGCCCCTCACCTTCCAGGACCTGCCCCTGAACATCTACATGGTCATTTTCGGCACCGGCATCTTCATCTTCGTGCTCAGCCTCATCTTCTGCTGCTACTTCATCAGGTGAGCAGGGGGGCTGTGCCAGGGGGTGGGTGGGCAGCCCTGGGGCCCTTCCCTTGTCCTGTCCCGGAACACGGGGACAAGCCCCCGCTGGGATCGTGGTCCCTGCAGCTCCCGGAGCAGGGCAGGAAGCGCAGGAAGGGGCTCTTGTTTTCCAGGGGACCGCAGGAGGGACACATTGTGTCGGGCAGGGAGAGGGAGGATGTGCCTTTACATCGCTCCCTGGTCGGGGAGGGCTATTTTTAACCCCAAAGCCGGGGCAGCTGCTGCTGTTCCCGGCTGGCTCAGTCCTGTCCTGCGGGATGTCCCAGCTCTTCCCCGTGTCCCCTGTGTCCTCCAGAAGTTTTTGGGGCTGTGTAAGCGCGTTTTGGTGCCTCGCTGGGAGTAGAAGCCCCGCTGCAAGCTGCCCCTTCCTCCCCGTTCCCACTGGGTTTCTGTACCAGCCGGTTTTCCCGACCCAAGGTCACGGCAGGGCCGGGAGCTGCCGGCTGGAAATCCAGCACTTCCTGCGCCGTGAACGACTTCCTAAGGCAAACAATCGGGGCTGCCAGCCCTTGGCATCCCGTTCCTGCCCCGCGGGAGCAGCTCGGGCTGGCCCTGCCCGCTGCCCAAAGGCAGCCCCAGAGCTGCTGATCCCCAAATCCCGGGCGGGAAGGGCGTGCTCCCCTGATTCCCTGTGCCCCTGGAATGTTCCTGGCCGCGCTGTTCGCTCGTGGCCGTGACGCTCACGGTGCCTTTCTCTCCCCCTCTGCAGCAAACTGCGGCACCAGGCGCAGAGCGAGCGCTTCGGGTACAAGGAGGTAACGCCCGGGGCTGCCCCTGGCTGGGTTTGGGGTGGGCAGGAGGGGACGTGGCAGGGCCCGAGGCTGCTCGTCCCAGGAGGGCACCTTCCAAAGGGGTGGGATGGGACAGCCTGCTCAGAAACACCCCCGGGCTCACCCTGCCCCTGCCCGGCCCCGTTCAGCCCCTGCCGGGGCAGGATCCTCCTTCCCGGTGTTCGACCCTCTCCCTCCTTTTCTCCCTCAGGTGGTTTTGAAGGGCGATGCCCGGAGGCTGAACGTGCACGGGGTGAGCGGGGCCGCCTCTGGCTCGGGATGGATTTGGGGTTCACAGGGATAACGCTGAGGATGCTTCCCATCTGCTCCAGGGGGGGCTGAGGGGGGCTCAGGAGCAGATGGGGAGGGTGGGACAGGGATGTGATGTGTGGATGTGGTGGGATTGGGATGGGATGTTTGGGATGTGATGTGTGGATGTGCTGGGACTGGGATGGGATGTTTGGGATGTGATGTGTGGATGTGCTGGGACTGGGATGGGATGGGATGTCTGGGATGTGATGTGTGGATGTGCTGGGACTGGGATGGGATGGGATGTCTGGGATGTGATGTGTGGATGTGCTGGCACCACAAGGCTGGGGACTGGGAGGGAATCCCCCTCCCTGGAGGCGGTTTGGGAACTGAGCTGAGCTCCCAGCTGGAAACGCCCGGGATTTCCCCAGCCGTTCACACCCGCCCTCCCCGTCGGTGTCACCTCCCACAGCAGACCTGCGCCGTGTGCCTGGAGGATTTCAGGGCGAAGGAGGAGCTGGGGGTGCTGCCGTGCCAGCACGCCTTCCACAGGAAGTGAGTGGGGGTTCGGGAAAGGGGGGAATTCCCCGGCAGGGCTGGAATTCCAGCGTGTCCCCGCCCGCAGGTGCCTGGTGAAGTGGCTGGAGGTGCGCTGCGTGTGCCCCATGTGCAACAAGCCCATGGCTGGTCCAGCACAGCCCCGCGCCGGCATCGGGACCCTCCTGGACGAGCTGGTGTGAGCCAGCCCTGCTCCAGACCGGCCTCATCCCGTGGGATCCATCGTGGGATTGTGGGATCGCAGCTCCACGCACGCAGCATTGCCCCCCACCCCGGGGCCGCACGGCTCGTCCCGAATCTCCCAGCTGGGGTTTTTAACTGGGGGGTCATGGCTTTGGTTGGGGTTTTGAGTTGTCCCCCTCGTGCTCCACACGGAGCCGGGGCCTCCCGGGATTCCCTGTGGGGAGCTGAGCCCCCCACAGGGTCGGGGAGGGGGGTGTCGTGTCCTCCCCCCCCCCCAACTTTGCTGCACAGAGTATTTTTGTACCTGTTCCCCCCTCACACCCTCGGGGGGCGTGGAGGGAATGTACAGTTTTGTGTAAAAAATTATTAAATGATGATTTCTCAGCCAGTCTGAGCTGGGGGGGCTATGGGGCCGTTCGGGGGGAGTCAGGGGGGATGCTGAGACCCCCCCCAGGTGCCTTGGGGGCACTTCAGGGGGGCCCAAGAGAGCGTAAGGGCTGGGCCCAGGACCCCCAGGAGCCACAGGAGCATTTTGGGGGACCCCAAAAAAGCCCAAGGGGGGATGCTGAGACCGCCCCCCTGGTGCCACAGAAGGCATAAGCACAACCCAAAAGCTGGGCCCCCCTCCCCTGCACCCCCCAGTTTGCCCATTTCCACTGGTTTTTGACACCTCTAAGTGACAACGACGTCAGCAGTGACATCACGAGGCACCCCCTGTGGGGGCACCCCCTGAAATTTGTCCATTTTCGCTGATTTTTGACACCTCCAATAGCCCCCCACACTATTTTCTCTTGCTTCCTGGTATAACTATTTTTAACATGACAACTGTAAATATGACGTCATGTGTGACGTCAGGACCCCCCGGCGGTCAGAAGGGACTGTGCGATGTCGTAACGGAGGGCGCACACGTCACGCAGGCGCGTGTCCATCCCATTCATCATGGTCATGAACCGGAAGGATCAATGGACACCCTTCCCGCGCCCAGGCCTACCGCCGCACCACTTCTATCTAAGTCAGGGCAACCTTGGGGTGTGTAGTTCTCCCTTCTCACTGACACGGCGCACTCCACGCCATGGATTCGTCTCATCACATCCCCCTGTTTCGCTCTTTTTGCCCCGCACCGCCCCTCCTTCCCCGCATTTTCGCCGCTAATTATTCATGGTAATTTTATTCTCGCGCCGCCACGCCCCCCCCGGCGCGCCGGCTTTACGGCAAGCGGGGTGTTTTGCGACAGTTGGAGCCGCTGGTGCGGGAGGCGCGGAGGGGACCGGAGGTCTCGAAGGGGTCTCGAAGGGGTTTTCGGGGTCTCTGAGGGTCTCTCGGGGGTCTCCGCGCCCCGGAAGGCGCTGCTGCCGGCAGGGATGTGTATTTAGCGCGGTTTTAGGGCGCGGGAGGCGCTGCCGGGTCGCGCCATGGATGCCAGTGGCCTGAGGCCGGAGGGGGGTCCCGGGCAGCCGCCGCCGGTCCCCTCGGTCCCCTCGGCCGAGCAGGTGCTGCTGCAGGCCCGGCTGTCGCTGTCCGATGGCCCCGGAGCCCTCAGGGAGCTGCTGGAGGCGGCGGACCCGCGGTGGCTCCTCCTCGGGCCCGGCAGCCCCGCGGCGCTGGGCGAGCTGGCGGCCGCGCTGGGCGAGTCCGCGGCCCCTCCGGGGCGGGAGCAGGACGGAGCGGAGCCCCCCGGCCGGGACAGGGAGCACGCTGCTGCGGCAGAGAGGGCACAGCAGGTGGGCGCCGTGTTTGCGCTCCTGCTGAAGAAGCTGGAGGATGCCGGGAGGAGCCAGGAATGCCCCGGGGCGCCCGCGGTGGGTCCCGCGCTGCGCCGTGTGCTGGCACACATCTACGTCTTCGCTGTCACACACCTCGAGGAGCGGCCCTGGACCACCGAGAGGAGCCGTGTGCTGGCACACATCTACGTCTTCGCTGTCACACACCTCGAGGAGCGGCCCTGGACCACCGAGAGGAGCCGGGCGGTGGCCCGGGAGCTGCTGGAGATGCTGGTCCGGGCCGCAGGCTGCGCGTCCGTGGCTGAATTCCTGCGGGGAAAAGATGGGGATGAGGAAGGAAGGTTTGGAGCCGTGATGGGGCTCCTGAAACAGGAGTTAACCAAGTGAGTAGGGAGGGGAGGGAACGGGCTGGGTGACTCTGTGTGGGGAGTGCTGGAAGCCTTTGGGGCACTGAGCTCAGGCGTTACAAACATGAGATATAAAGGGGGTAAATGAAGAATATCTATTAAGTAATAAATAAAACACATGATTAGAGGCCAGGAGCTTTGCAAATGCCTGGTAATGGAAGATGTTGGGGGGGATCAGTCTGGGTTTGCTGTCAGCTGGTTCCAGTGCCCAGGAAAGCAGTGCTCATTATTCCCAGTGTTCCCTGAGCTGGTGTTTGTGTCTCCAGGGACACCTGGAAGCGCAACCCTGCCACCAAACACGTGTTCTGCTGGACACTGCCCCACGTCACCCGGCCCTGGCTGGGCCCTCACCTGGAGCGGGTCCTGCCGCCCTCACTGCTCATCTCTGACGACTTCCAGGAGGAGAACAAAGTGCTGGGAGTGCAGTGCCTGCACCACATCGTCCTCAACGTGGTGAGGGAGGGGAGACCTCGAATCCCTCAGAGCGTTGTCCAAACACTCCTTGAGCTCTGGCAGCCTTGAGGCTGTGACCAAACTCTCGGGAGCCTGTTCAGTGCCCCACCACCCTCTGGGGGAAGAGTCTTTTCCTGATCTCCAACCTAACCCTGCCCTGACACAGCTCCAGCCGTTCCCTCGGGTGGGTTGGACTCCTGTTAGGATTCCTAACTTCTCTTCCTGGTTCTGCTGTTAACCAGCAGTTCTGCCCTCTCTTCCACGCTGTCCCCGTGTGGTTAAACCTGTGCAGTTGTTACAGCTGTAACACAAAGCAGAGAACTGCTTTGCCACATCTCAGCCAGTTCCCACCCAAACCCGACAGCAGCAAGTGTTGCCAGTGGAACTGCACAGCAGCAGCTGGGGAGGTGAAATAAGGAGAAGGAAGTGGCTGCTTCTGAGGGTGGCAGCATTTAACCTGCGTTTACAGCACCTGTGAGCAGAGTTCCTCGTGCCCAGGATGCCCCAGGGCTTGGGAGGGCTGTGCTCTTTCCTTAGGCTGTAGCTGGGTGTGGTGCCCAGGACTAACCCCCTGCTCTCTGTTGTTGCAGCCGGGTGCGGATCTGTGCCAGTTCAACAGGGCCCAGGTGGTGTTCCACGCCCTCTACAACCACCTCTACTCCCGGGAGGCTCCTCTCATCCAGGTAGGAGTAGCTGGGCCTGTCAGATGAGCAGCAGCAGCAGCTGGGGGTGGTCAGAGGGTTGGTGTTTTGGAGAGGATGTGACCAGGATTGCCCAGCTCCGCTGTCTCTCCCCAAACCAGGCAGTGCTGCTGTGCCTGCTGGACCTGCTGCCCATCCTGGAGCGATCCCAGCGGCACCAGGGGCACCAGGGCCAGGTGAGACCCCGCTCCCAGTGCGACGAGGTGCTGCAGCTGGTCCTGACACACATGGAGGGGGAGCACCGGCTGGCGCTGAGGAGGGTCTATGGGGGGATCCTGCCCGCCTTCGTCAGGAGGTGAGAGCTCAGAGCTGTACCTGGGCACCCTGCCCTTGCTGGGGAGGGCAGAGGAACCAGGTCTGCACAGGGACCCTGCCTGCCTTTGTGAGGAGGGGAGAGCAGTGACCCAACCAGGACAGGCCTTGGCCTCGCTGTCCAAGGGTCTCCTCCCCCCTCAGACCGTGTCTGTGCCTGCAGACTCGGCATCCTGGTGGTGCGGCACCTGAAGAGGCTGGAGCGAGTCATCCTGGGCTACCTGGAAGTCTCTGATGGCCCTGAGGAAGAAGCCAGACTGGGAATACTGGAGACACTGCAGTGCACCATAGAGCACGCCTGGCCCAGGTACCTCTTGGGGGTGACAGGCACTGTGCCCAGAAAACCTGGCCTGAACACAAACCCTGGCCTGAGTGTTTCCACTTTAAGGGCCAAAGTTACTGCTGCTTGAGGAACAGGCCCTGGAATCCTAAGGATTTGTCCCAGGGAGGAGTCACTGGCATTGCTGCTTGGCCGAAAAATCTGGCCCAAAAATTAAGCCAGGTCCTCGTTTCCATCCAACTTGTGCCTGTTCTGGAAGCATCAGCTTGGCTATAAGTTAAATCTCTGTGGAGTGAGCCCTGTGCTGTGAATCAGGCTGTGCAGTGACAGCATTCCTGACACTCCATCCCAAGGTTACCTGTGTGTCCAGGTCTGTCCCCTCCTGGCACACTGGCCTTAGGCAGCTCCCAGGAACTGCTCAGCTAAGCTGTGCTTCCCCCTGGCTTGGGCAGGCTTTGGGCTGAGGTGTGGTGCTGTTCTCCCTGGCAGGATGCCCTGCAGGCTCCCCGTGCTCCTCAAAGCCCTGCTGAGGCTGATCTGGGATGTTCACACGGACCCGGGCCCGACGCCGGAGCCCATCAGAGCCGCCCTGCTCCAAAGGGCCACCCAGTGCCTCATCCTGCTGGATCACTGCTCCAGAGGGCAGGTGAAGGTGAGTCAGGGGCTCAGCACCTGAGGAGGGGCAGTGTGGGGTGTGCAGGTGCCCAGTTCCTTCCTCAAGCATCAATAACTGGTAAGTGACTCCACACCTATCGACAGGTATCGAGCCGTGCTCTGTGCAGCTCTCTCCCAGCAGAGCTGGGGGAGGGTTGGTAACACCATAAAGCCCACTGGGAATCTTTTTCCGGTGCCAGGGCACCAGGAATGACGCTGTTCTTGTTGCAGGTGCTGCTGGAAGGGGTGTACAGCAGCTGTGAGGAGAACCGTGTGCGGGAATGCATCAGGAAGGTGCAGGAGAGCACGTGAGGAGGCTGACAGCACCCACCCCAATTTTGTACAGTAAAACTGGTTTATTTATTTAAAGTTACTGCCTGTCTTGTCCCACCTGTTGGCCCCATACCTGCCATGTCCCCCAAAATACACGTGTGTGCTTCTCCAGCCACGGCCCAAAGCAGCAGTGCCCCCCAGGCCAGGTCCTTTCATGGAGCACAGTCCAAGCTGAGCTTTTTGTGGCTGTAGAGAAGGTGGGGGATCTTCTTCCTTACAGCTGTGCTTCATCCAGTTGTACAAACTTGCTGCCATTGCCTGGGGTTGGGACAGAAACCCTGCTTTTCTTAGAGAAAATTTTTCATCTAGAGTATAAAACAAGGAGTTATTGAAGGTCTTGCACAGTGGTGAAAGCTGGTGACAGATCTGGAGTCCTGTCAGTCAGTACAAAATGGGATCAGGGAGGCCTCAGGCTGCTTTTGTTTTGGTGGTTGGCTCTGTTTCTTCTTCATACTCTATTTCAATGTAGGGACGTTTTCTCCTGGCTGGTCCTTTCAGGGGCGTTTTCCCTTTAGATTTGGAGTGAGAGGCTTTCTTCTCTACTTCTTCCTCCTCTTCCTGCTCCTCTTCACTACTTGTCTCCAACTTATCCATGTCCTGAGAAAGAATTGAGTGACAAGAGTGATGTCAGAGCAAGCTGTGCAACTAAACCTCCCCTTTCTCCAAAATTACCTCGTGTATCCAAGTCCCTTCTATAATCCCTGGCTCCCAGCTGTCTGACCAGAGGAGCTGGGCTGGTGTGGATACACTGCAGTCTGACTGTACCTTCCACAAATCTCATCTTGCTGGCTCTTACCCATCACCAGAGACACCAAAGGGTGGAGGTGACCAGACAGTTTACACCTGGTGCTTCACCTACCTCAAAGTCACTGAGCTCGCTCTCCTCTGCTTCCACAAACTCCCTTGTACCCACATCCTGCAAGAAACAGAGTCAGAGCTGGGACTGAGCACAACAGGGTCACAACTCCTGGCAGAAGAGCCACCAAGGCCAAGCTTCCTGAGCTCTCCTGATGCCTTCTTCTCACCCTGCAGTGCCACAGCTCAGCACCAGGGCAGGGCAGGAGTGATGGGGCTGTGGCTGAAAGCTTTACCTCATCCTCCTCCTCCTCTTCCTGCTCTGCCTCCGACTCGCTCTCGCTCTCTGCCCCTTGCTGTTGTAGGGCTTTGTCAAAGGCGTGGATGGGGAAGTTGTAAATATCTCCATACTGGAAAAAAAAAGTGGATTTTCTGTAGGTCACAGGAGGAAGGCACACTTGGAAAGCCTGCACACGGGCAGCATCAAACTAAAGTGTGCTCCCAGGGGGATCCTTACTGTGTCCTGCTTCAGTCTCTCCAGCAGTTCCTTCTCGATGGCATTATCCAGCTGAGCAGCAATCAGGGCTTTTTCCTAAAGGAGAGAGAGAGGAGCTGTCAGGCTGAGGCCCAGGAGCAGTGACCAGAGGGGACAGAAGGAGCGTTGTTACCTCTCGCCTCTTCTCCCGCCTCTCAATCTTCCTGCGCAGCGGGACGAGCTTCCTCCTGCAGGGAACAACAGGCAGTTGGGAATCTGTCACCCTCTGGGGAGCAACAGCCAGCACTTTCCTCATTAGAAACGTGGCTGCAACTGGTGTAAGTGTCCTGGGGGGCACCAGTGCCCGCTGGGGGTGTCCCTCACTGTCTCTTGAGGGTCAGCTTGCGGATGCGGATCAGGTACTGCGTGATCTTGGTGAACCTCTGCTTGCACTTGTGCCGGATGAACCGCGGCCAGTAGATGAGGTTCTCGTCGATCTGCTCCAGAGCCTTCTCGTAGTTCTTGTTTAGCAGGACCTGGGAGGGACAGGGGGAGAGTTGAGTTACACAGCAGGGACATCTGGGAGCAGTCACATCGCTCCCAGAATCGCTGAGGTTGGAAAAGGCCTCCCAGACCATCGAGTCCAACCTGTGCCCGATCCCCACCTTGGCACTGAGTTGTTCCTTGGACACCTCCAGGGATGGGGACTCCACCACCTCCCTGGGCAGACCTTCCCAGTGTTTAACAACCCTTTCCAGGAAGAAATTCCTCCTGATGTCCAACCTGAACCTCCCCTGGCACAGCTTGAGGCCACGTCCTCTTGTCGTGGGGACACCCTCCCTGCCCCTCAGTAAAGGCCCTCAGAGCCCTCTCTGTGACCCCTCTGCTCCCCTGAGCTCACCCGCTCCCAGAGGCGCCGGGGAAACGCCGCCCGCTCGATCGTCTTCATGTACAGGTAACACCGACCTGGGAACAGGGAACACGATCCCACTGAGCACATCCCAGAGCCAGGGTGCCCCTCACCCCCTCCCTGCCCATGGGCTCCCTGCAGCTGCCAGAGCACAGGAACATCCAGGTGGGAAAGACGAGTCCACTCTGTGCCCCATCCCCACGTCGTCACCAGCCCAGAGTGCCACGTCCAGTCATTCCTTGGACACCGCCAGGGATGGGGACTCCAACACCTCCCTGGGCAGCCCCTTCCAATGCCTGGCCACCCTTTCCACGAGGAAATCCCTCCTGGCGTCCCAGGAGAGGGGATCCCACCTTTCTCCTCGCGGATGGTGGCGTACTGGCTGTTGGCCAGCGGGCAGGACGAGCGGTTGCACAGCCCCGTCAGGTTGTACTCGTTGCGACAGAAGTTCTGGGTTT